ACGAATCTAATCAAATATTTAGAACTTGATGCTTTATGACTATTTAGGGTTCAGGTGCATCATAAAGGTATTATGGAACCTTGTATCAGAATTACTGAAAATTCATATATAATCAGGAGTGATTCCATTATACGAGCCATCAAGGGCATTTTAGAAATTTTTATTTTGGTAGAATTCTTAGTAAATAACCCATTAAGTTTAAACCGATAATTTGCAGTATTCCAAATTTATATCAAATTCTTAGGATTTAGAGTCAAATCGAACTAACAGATCCATATTCTGCGATGCTTGCCAATTAGTCAGACCAATATACTTCAAGAATATTCATTCTTTAATATTAACAACACTAGTTGAACTAATCACCATCAAAATCACCATTGAACAGATCTCGAGGTAACGAACATACATTATGACGATATTATTTATTTATGTATTACAATAGTATTCAAAATGATTGGTGTCTTGGGTCTCTTCAAATTCTTTAAGGGTAGTACAACACTTAAGTTTGTAGGTGTTTCCAGAGTTTATCCGAAGATATTTAGGATATTTCAGTCCTCGAGGTATTTTATTCATTTCATTCGATTCAGTATATTTAGAAAGTTCAGTCACTTCGAACAATTCGTAGGTCCATATTTCTAATCAGATCAGAAATTCAATCAGTAGGTTCATATTTCTATCAAGTCAAGAATAAATTTGTAGGTCAGTTTCACTATCATGGGAGATTCACGTAGCTATTCATTTCAATGATATTTCCATAATTTCTTAACCAATTATTTTCGATATTTAATCTTTAACGAGAATAATAAAAAAATTATGGATCTTGTGGTTAATTTTCTTTATCACTTAATCACCATCCTTGAAATTATTTTTATCGATCTTCTAGTTTCTATACGTTTCAATCAACTCTTAATCAATTTAATATCATTTCCTATATTTAGTACTAATTTAAGAATACTAATCGGGATATACTATACCAACATTTTAAATCATGCATCCATTAATTATCAACATGTATAGTAAAACATGCATAGGGTAGTAGAGTATCACCTCAATATTTGAGCCATATCGATTAAGCAATTAAACTTCATTCGATCACTATCACCCTTGATTTTGACATCTCATAATATCTCAGATACATAGCAATAGAATTTATGTTAGAAACAAAACTTAATTGGGAAAACTATTCAAATCGAAAGATAAAATGCTAAAAAAACAACTTACCAGGTTTGAATTTGGTGAAATAGACTTCGAATTCGAACTCGGATCGAAAAACATAAAATATGACTTTTTGAAAAAAGTTAACTTATGGTCAAATTCAACGGTCAAGGCGATCAAAGTCAATGGTCCAGAGAGTCAACATTTTGGGTTGACTCAGGCCGGTTTAGGTTGACTCGGTTTTGTCTAAGTTGACTCAGTCTAGTTCGAGTTGACTTGGATTGGTTTATAGAACAATATGGATTTAAGAAGCTACCCCACGCGCGAAGGAGGCATGTGACAGCGCCTACAACGGTGCAAGGTCCGATTCAGACTACCGATTACTCCTAAGGTACTCACACAACAAAATTGACTCAGATAAAAAAGAAATAAGTTGAAAACCAAATAGAAATAAAAAACGGTAAATGGTTAAAGGTCTCACCCAACAATGATCGAAGAGGGCATCACCGGTGTAGTGATAAATATGACAGGGTTTTGGTCGAAATCACTTAAGAAACTCAGTGGTGAAGGTGAAACAGCGACAGAATCGGCCGGAATCACATTAAACAACAAAGGTGACAAGGGGTTGTTGAAGATTCAAATAGTCCTCCACCTTAAATGGTGGAGTCTCATGGTGAGAGGGACCTTGGGTTTTGATTCGGGCTGGCCTGGCGCTTCTCTTGAGTTTATCGGTGGTGAATCAACAAAAATAGTGGCGGGTGAAATTTATCTCCGACAATCCTTCAAATAGATCTCCATAATAATTGCAGAGAGAAACGATGGATGGCTAAAGGGGTTTTGATAGTGAGGTTGCGACAATGTTAATGGTGCCAGCGATGTACGCCACTGCTGGCCGATGACAAAACAAGGTTGAGGGAGACAGAGGAGCTTAAATAATTAGGGATTTGTTTTTTTGTTCGATTAGAATGGGGTTGGATTTTGGGTGTTAAAAATCGGGTTTGGAACTGTTTAAGAGATATTTTTAATAAAATAATCTTAAATAATATCATAGCCTTGATGTAGGAGTATAATTAGCTATACCCTATACCCAAATTTCAAATCTCCATAGTAGCACCATTTCCTTTTCTTCTTTTTTTCCTTAGCTAGTAGAAGAGGGTTAAAACAAAGTTTAGGTCCTTGACCTTTTAGGAATTCAAAAAATAGCCCTAAAATCTTCAAGATCTCACAATTTGGTCCCCAAATACACTAATTAAACATTTACAATTTAGCTTGTAAATTGAGGTGTGACACAAACAAACCTAGAAATCGAATCTGAATCAAATATGTCACATTCGACCAGCTAAGTGATCCCACAAATCACAAAATCAGAAAATACGACTTAAATTTTTTTTAAGACAAATTATACAAGATGTGAAAAATATAAAAATTATAAAAGTGAAACTCCTTAATTGAAAACCAAATACATAAGAAAAATAATTTATCTACAACATACTTTAATGAAATCACCACCTCTACATTATGCTCGAGATCAATACCACATATATTATGTATAAAATATAATGAAGGTCATGTAACGCTTACACAATATGGACTTATAATTGCAAGAGTGCTCGAACTAACTTAGAATAACTAACTTAGGATACACGAGTTAACGAAATGACACGAATACCCAAAATGCACTAAAGAGCTAAACAAATCACCAAAGGGTTATGGAATATAACAAAGTATCGAAATGCATCTATTGGACTCTATGACGTGACAATTATACCCTAATACTCTTAAAAAAATACTTGGGCAATTTATATAAGAATATGTCAATACACATGGCACATAATGTCACAATCAACATAAGAATGATTTCACAATAAGGATCACACATCGAAATGGCTTACCACAAGTCTCTTTAGTAATCATGCATTACATAATGTATTATAACACTGGCAAGCAATCTTATCTCTTATAAATTCATTTACTACCCATAAGGTATTTTCACAATTTTCCTACTCGAAAGTATTTTAGTCTTTTACAACTCAAAAGGACTTTTTAGTGATTTTTATTCACATTCGAGTACTATTATTTATTTCACATTTATCAATTCATTAAACTTTAAAATTCTGATCATTTTAGTACGTAAGGAAATTTTGATAATTTTTGCCTCTAAAGGGTCTTCTAATTGTTTTCTTACTCACAACCTTTATTCTTATTATCTGTTCATTAATAATTTAAATCTTTTATCCTTTTTAGACATTTCAAAACTTTACATCATTAATCAATATAATATTTAAGGGTAATTTAGTCATTTGGCCCAAAGGACAATTCAATAATTTCTTATACGCATATATTTTTTAACCATTATCTTAATAATAAAGGCGTTTGCATCATTTTGCATTCACATTAACTCATTCTTATTTTCAGCACATATTATTCCACTTACTTAGGTCTATAAGATCAATTTCATAATTTCAGTCCTATAAAAATATTTTAGTAATTTTCACTCACACATATATCAACATTATTTAAGCATATGAAGAGTAATTTATTAATTATTGATTTCATAACACCTTTTCCTGCACACTTATAGGCTTTTCTTAAGACTTACTATGATTAAGGCATTTTTGTTATTTTACCCTAGGGTGTTTCGAGCTTTCAATAAAGCTTAACGGGTCATCCTTAAAGTATTACGATTTTTTTTTTGAAGTTTAATGATTTTAGAGGTATTTCATATCATTATTAAGCACTATTCACAAAAAAAAGGCAGTTTGGTAATTTATTCTATTATCATTTGAATCATAATTATGAAAACCCCTAAACACGTCGAATTTCGAGATGTACTCGCCTTAAACCCCTGAATTTAAGCTTACCAACTCTAATCCGAGCTTCTAACCTTTTCTTATGAACACAAGAGCTCCACAACATGAAAATAGCCCCAACATATTTCCCTTGTCATAAAAAATATTTCATTAATATATATTTAATAATTGCGATAGCTAATGATTGAAATCGAAGACTTACTGAGCCAATTAATTATTCAACCACTAAAATTAGGGACTAATTTGAACTAATTGAAACTAAAACCATAATTAAAAGCTAATTTGCGCACTGAAGGACTAAATCGAAATACAACTCAAAAGATGAATGACCAAAATACAATTACCCTAATATAACGAGAATGTACTGATCCTAAGACGGGTCGGGTCACGCGTGTCAGTTAGAGTCAGGTTTCCAAAACGTTGCATTAAATGTGTCATTAGTTTTTCTGTAAAGAAAAATCAGAGCCCTCGTTGTGGACTCGCCAACCGCTGCCAATGATCGTTGGTCACATCCAAATCACCCATCTGACACTCCCTAACACGGGTGACGGGATAAATGTAGAAAAATAGTATATAAATTCATTCTTAATTGACTTTCAGTCATTTATGAAGTCATTTTTCTAGAAAACCAACTTATACATATGGAGAGAGACAAAACAACATCCAACCCACACGTTAAAAGTTAAACATATTCAAAAGTTTTAATTGAGAAGCCCCTCATTATCCTTTGCCGCCATTAATTCCCCTTTTAATTACTTCTTCGTCAAAAAACTAAAATGCTAATCCTCCTATCGAACATTGAATTAATTAAAGCATCTTCCACATTTGCAGCAAGCCTTGTGAATAACTTGTCAATTATAGCATCTCTAAAATGATTGCTGACCATTGGCTCTATAACAACTCTGATTTTATTTTAAATATTTTCCCCATTTGCGTATAAATGTTAAATCCAATGTCTTTGTTATGGAGCAATTCATCTGTATTTATAAGATCCGCGTCCACTTCGAAAACTTGTAGATTGTTAATTTCAAATGATCATTCTTTCTTGACAATCTCAGCCACTTCTTTGCAAGGTGTATAGAAAGGAAGGTTGAATGAATCCACATCTGTCTCTTCTACAAGTCCCTGCAGTTCTAAATTAAGTAGTTTATTGCATTCGAATATCATAGAAATAGAGTAAATGGCCTATTGGCAGCTGTGCAACCAAATCAAGAAGTGATTTAGCTACAAACTCCTAACCATAGTCTTCGTTGGAAGGGTCGGCATTTTCCTAGCGATAAAGGTTAGCTCCATTCGGCCTTGGGGTATGATTTATTTGGAGCAAGGTTAGAAATTTGTGGTTAGCTCCATTCGGCCTTGGGGTATGATTTATTTGGAGCAAGGTTAGAAAATTTGTGAAGTCTTTTTGAAATTGGTGGGCATAAGCTTGGAAACATTGGGAGGACTTGATCTTGCCATGTATACGTTTCCTTTATTGTTCTCTAGCCCAGTTGGAAGCTAATGACAAAGACCAAAGTTAAATGAGATTAAATAGATTCTTTACTAGACCGAAAAAGAGATAATGGTTTTGGTCAAGTGAGAGACCTTTTTGAGCCAATGGAGCGCATAGGAAGAATTGACAAACTGGAGGGTTGTGGTTGGAAAGAGTTTATCATAGAAAGAGCCAGCAACTCCTATAAAACACCTTTCTTGGACCATATCTCCTTTCTCTTTCTTCAGCCTCTCAACGAAATCAGGAGCAGACATAAACACAGAGTTGAAGTCATTGTCTGGGAGATCATTTAGAAGCACTTCAAACTCTGGAAATTTCAACTCTTCTCGTTTGCATATCCCATGGATAGTGTTCATAACTTGAGATATAGTCTCGAAGGTGTTACGTCCTGAAGAGCAACCCAAGTCTGCCACCTTTATACAAGCTGGACCCATTTCCTTCAACATATCTCTGATGGATTCTTCGATAATTGGAGTTACCTTTGATATCACTGCTTTCTGAAAGCACAAACAATGGTTAGCGTCATATTTTTTAAAAATGAAAAAAGAAGATATATAAAGCAGAAATCATGTAATAACTGACTTGGAAAACTGAATTATTAGCATAGCTAATTTCATGATCTGCTGCATTCATACGAAGAGCCTTTGCTTCTGCCATTTTGCTTGTTTAATTTCTCTAAAGACTTATCTACTGTGTAGTGTTTTCTGCTGTGTTTTCCTTAGCATTCTGAGCTCTGCTATATATATATCCATACGCACGCATGAAACAATGACCATGGATGCTTCTGCCATGTAATTTTTTATTCAGTATGGTCAAATAAAATATTTCGACATTCTTTGGAAAGAGTTGTCCAATAACGACCACCTCAATCTTCTTTACGAATAAGTTTGTTAACAACAAGAGAATGACGAAATTAGTGGTTTAAATTATCCAAAAAGAAAAAAGAAATTAATGGTTTAATATTAAGGAAAAAATGCCCATTACCTAAAGCCCACAATGTTTGGTAAGCTTGGATTATACATTAAAATAGAAAGAATTTATAACGTTGGATATATATTTTATTTCTTCATATTTCTTTAATACCAAAACCAACCCCACCCCGCAAATAAATTCATTTTCATATATGGCCGGCGTTGAAAAGGATTTAAGATCTCAAACTGCTAATGCAGGATTTTTAATATTAAATTGCTTAATTTTGTTTTATCATTTTTCTTTATTTACAAAATTTAATTAATTTTATTAATAATTTATATAGAAAGTTTAAATCAAACGAGTGTGACGAGTGTTCTAGATTGACACTATTTATTTCTTAATTCTTCCATGTTAACAATTTATCACTACTGATTCAGTTATGTTTTGATTATTTTCGTGCAAAGATTTATTTTTCAGAATCAATAGTAAAAAGTTGATGTCTGTATTTTTTTTATTATTCGATTGCGGTCAAAGACATAGGCACTACAAATGGCATGATACAGTATGACGTGGTAATTTCTAGAAGATTCAGTCAGCATTGGGAAGATTCTGGAAACAACCTAGTCAACACGATCTGAGGAGATCTTTAGGAATCCTAGTTTTAAGTTTGAACTCAAAACACTTTGAATTATCTTTTAATATTTAGGATTATTTGCATTTAAATTTTTATGCTATCTTTAGGGTTTTGGAAACCTATAAATACCCTCTTAGGGTATAGCTTGAATATCTTGATTTTACTTTTGTTACTTTATTTTCAGTTTTATAAAATGTTTCCTTTGTTTTCTTTACTTTAAGGTTTTAGCGTTTTCAAAAAAAATGCTAAGTATGATTTCTATCATGCTAAGTATGATTTCTATAATGCTAAGTATGATTTCTATCATGCTTAGCTAATTTTCTCATTAGCCGAGAGCTAGCGATGACTCAATTCTAAATGTGAGAATTGAAAAGCACTTAATATCCTTTGGGTTGCATTCTTAGTTTTCTGCAAATTAGGATTAGAAATTGGCCTTTCCTTTAAAAATTCAAAACGCTTTCATATCAAAAAGTCGACGTTAGTCTGGATGTTGTTCTGATTTAAAGTGAGAGGAAGGGTTGACCTGTAGCACATTTGACTTCTTGAGAACACACTTAGCGGTAGTCGGGCTTTTCTAAAACTTAATATGATTTGTTCTAGTGACGATAGTCGTAGTTAGTCCATTAAGGGACCAAATTTCAGAGGTTGACTTGGGAAGATTGGTTTACCAAAGAGAATATAAAGTTACAAGGGTTGAGCCTTTTAGAATATAACCGGCATGAATCTCGAAGTAAGATCCATTTCGATGATCAAAGTGAATTGAGTCAAAGCTAAGCTTAAGACTATTTTCCATCATATTTGTTTTCAACTCTTTAGTTTAATTATTTGTTATTTTCATTTGTTTAGTTTTACTTAATTATTGTTCTACAGCAAACCTTTTTTTATCTTTTGTTACATTTTATCTGGATCAGAATCAATGCAATTCAACATGAGGAATTTCTAAGTCCTTGCGGATCGACCCTTTTATTATATTTACTACGCTCATTCCTATTTTAATATTAGATTGTTTAATTTTGTTTTATCATTTTTTGTTATTTACAAAATTTAATTAATATTATTAATAATTTATACATATAAAGTTTAAATCGAACGAGTGTATTAAAATTAAGGGTATACTATGCCAATAGTTTCCTTTGTTTTCGGTCTGACCGACTTTGGTCGCCGATTTTTTAATTAAGTGTGTTTAGTCACTTAAGTTATTGGTCCGTCCGATTTAAGTCCCTCAATCGTTAACTTTTGTTAACCCGTTAATGGAAGTCTGAGTTGGCAATTAAAAAAAACAAGTGTTTTTGTTCAAACTCTTCTTCTTCTTCTTCTTCTTCTTCTTCTTCCGTAATTTCTTCAAACATTGGCTCATCTCATACGCCATTTTTATTCACCTCCAAATTCTTCAACTTCTCCAAACTACACCGTCATATAACATCTTCGAGCTCTTTATCTTTAACAAATGGTTTCCCCATAAACGAAGCTATCTTCTCCACATGTTTAATGGGGTTTCTTTTAATTTCTTCTTATTTGATAGACAAAACCTTATTGGGGATTTTAAACCAGGGATTCAAATAGCGGAACGCAACCACAATAGCGTTCGCTATTTCGCGGTAGCGCCGCCGTCCGAAACCGATATTCAAGAAAATTGCGGTGGGTAGCGGAATCACGACAATAGCAGTCCGTTGCGGCCGTAATTTAGCTTTTAACGGTAAATAGCGTCAATAACGAGACGCTATTCCCATTATTAAACCATGACTTGAAAAAAAAAACAGAACATGTAAAAAATGGCAGCAAAAGCTAATTGAGAATAAAGAAAAACAAAACAAAAAATTCGGCAAAATTAGTACAAAAGAAAGAAATCCAAAGTTCCAAACAAAAAATTTTGTAAACTAAAAACCAAACAAAGAGCAATTGAGCAAGCAAGACTCACCATTCACCAAGGCAAAGACCAAACCACAAGGTAAGAAATCCCTAGATCTAAGTTCAGAAGAATTAGAAAAAATCAAACACAAAAAAGAAGAAAAAACAGTAAGACGATAAGCTATGAATATAAGAAAAAAAATAGAAATAGTAGATGTAGATCAAATAGAAAATGCAAAACAGAGAAAAGAAAGCAAAACAGAGAAAAGAAAGGAATAAGAAAAGTGGAAGAAGGAAGATGGGGTTGAAGAGAAGACTGCCCCAAACCCAAAGCACGGTTAGATTTTTTAGAGTAAACCAAAAAAATAATATAGAAAACTAAAATATATATGTCATATGTGTCAACAAAAGGGAGAATTAGAGCTTTTTTTAATTATTTTAAATAATTTCTAGGATATATTTTTAAAGAATATGTTAATTTGTTATCTTCTCACCTTTAAAAATTTATAATTTAATCCTTATTTTAAAATGTAAAATTTAATTTTTATTTTAAAATGTAAAATTTAATTTTTATTTAATTTAATCCTAATTGGTGAAACTATTACTACCCCATTTCTAAGGTATGTGTTGTTTTTATTGCTTATAGTGTTGATATATATATTATTAATTTATATGGCATTTTTCATTTAGAAAGCATTCTAAAAGTCATTAAAAATGACTCATTAACATTATAAATATAATTATTATGTTTTAGGATAAATTGTGTGAAATTTAAAAAAATTCACGACCGCGACTCTTGCAGTGACCGCGATGACATCCGTTATGTCCGCAATCGCGATAAACGCTACGCGACCGAAAACGCGACGGTGAACACTATTTAAATCCCTGTTTTAAACTCTAATTTTAGTACTATAAAACGTAGTAGAGGAACGACCCAAAGTGAAAAACGCCATTGATGAACAACTCGAAGGTTTTCTCGAATGGGTACGAACCATGTTGTGACGTTCTCAGCTTGTTGAACAGCTCGTCCACTTGCTTTTATATTTTTTCTCTTTCATCTCTCTCCCTATCCCTTTCACGTTGACGACTCCAATGGAGAAAAATCATTAAATAATAGTTACAATTATGTGATCATTCTCCGTAGTTTATTAGTCAATGCATCAACAAATTACCATCGAAACAATTCATCCGCATGCTTGCAACTTGATCCTTTGTCCCCGTTAACCTATCCTTATAACACATTTGTCAAATCGATTATTAGTTCTCAATTATTCAATATTGAAAATTCTTGACAGATTTGCTACATGCAGCATACTGTTCATTATTTACCTTTTACGTCTGTGGATCCTATGAATATTATTCTAAATGGGTTATCGTTTCACTTTGCAGACAACAAAGCTTTGTCGAATCTGTTCTTCGGTGACTGGAAGAAAAGGGATACCGCAATGTACATTTTGGTGACTGGAAGAAAAGGGATACCGCAATGTACATTTTTTCCAGTTCATGTAAGGATAACTTCTGGTCTCTGGTTCTGAACGTCTGGTTGGTCCTTTATAGATGTGGTTGCTATTTTTTCTCCATTTTTGGTTTTTAATTGTTAATACACAAATAAAATGATGACTAATCGAAGTTATTACAGATCTTGTTATTTCCCTGTTAGTGTAAGGTTTGTACCCATTCGAGAAAACATTCGAGTTGTTCATCAATGGCGTTTTCTACTTCGGGTCGTTCTTCGACTACATTTTGAAGTACTAGGGGGAGAAGCTAGCTTCGTTTATGAGGATACCATTTGTTAATGATAAAGAGGTTGAAGATGTTATATGACGGTGTAGTTTGGACAAGTTGAAGAATTTGGAGGTGAACAAAAATGGCATATGAGGTGAGTCAACGTTTGAAGAAATTAAAGAAGAAGAAGAAGAGGCGAGTCAACGTTTGAACAAAGACACGTTGTTTTTTTTATTTTTAATTACCAATTCAAACTACCATTGATGAGTTAATGAAAATTAATGGCTGAGGAACTTAAATCGGGTGGACCAATAACGTAAGGGATCAAGCGCACTTAATTAAAAAAAATCGATGATCAAAGTCTATCATACAGAAAATAAAGGGAATCATTAGCATAGTTTACCCTAAAATTAATCGAATTGTTCACAATAATTAATTATTCCTCACCTTCCAACCACCTTAGTGTATTTAAATTAGTTTTTGATATTTTTATGGTTCAACTTCCTTTCAAACTAAAAACAAACGCAAGGATTGGGAA